ACAATGCGTTACCGGTTCTTTATCTTTTCTCAAGGGAATAATTTAATGATGAGAGATATCAGATTAGAACAATAAAAATAATTATTAAGAAAAAAATATATTTTACACTGATTAGCTTTTTGGGTCCTAGATAAATATGCAGTGTTGAAGTAGATGCATAAGCCGATAGCGGGTTCAAAAAAACTCGAGCATAATATTTAAAGCAATGGGAATAAACGACAATGTACTCTTTATTATTAATGAATACTGTCTTTATCAAAGTATTTTTTTAAAGCTATGATATACAGTAGATTGAATAAAATTACACGCTAATACAACTTACCAGACATTGAAGTTGGCGGAATAAATAATTCTGCAGTACATGTTGCTTTTCCCCAAGAATTTTCTGCATTTAAAGTATATCTTCCAATATCTTCGTATTGAACATCATGTACAGTTAATGAATATGTATCATTTAAAATTTGCTGTTGATATCGTTGATTATTTGGTAAATTCAATATTGGTATACCATTGAATAACCAATAAACCTATAGAAATAAGATAACAGAAAATACAATAAAAAATATTTTGTTTTTGATTTTACATTTAATGGTTGTGTACCAATTAATCGAGCTTCAAATTTTATTGTTGAATTGATTGATGACTGTCGATCAGTAAATAATTGAAGAAATTCAGGTGGAAAACCATTTGATTGAATATTCATTTGTTCGATATTCATTGATGGTTTTCGATCAGTGAATACTTGAGGAAATTCAGGTTGAAAACTATTTGATTGAATATTTGTTTGTTCGATATTCATTGATGATTTTCGATTAGTAAATACTTGAGGAAATTCAGGTGGAAAACCATTTGATTGAATATTTTGTTCCATATTCATTGATGGTTTTCGATCAGTAAATACTTGAGGAAATGCAGGTTGAAAACTATTTGATTGAATATTCATTTGTTCGATATTCATTGATGATTTTCGATCAGTAAATACTTGAGGAAATTCAGGTGGAAAACTATTTGATTGAATATTTATTTGTTCCGTATTCATTGACATTGTATTCATTGCAGGTAAAATAGTTAATATACTTTCACATTTTGCTTCACCATCAATATTAATGGCTTTGACCATATAAGTACCAGCATCATCCATAAATAATTCAGGTATTTCAAGTGTATAAATATCATCTTGATTTCGAATCTATATATTCACAAAAAAAATTAGAGTAATTTATTGACTTTTAGTTTTTAGAAAACATACTTTATGATCATGAGTATTTCGTAATGGTTGATTATCTTTATACCAAATAATTTGCGGTTTAGGTTGTCCAGTGATGCGTACTTGAAAAAGTATTCGTTCACCTTCATGAACTGTTCTATTTTCGAATGTTTCTATAATATTTGGTGCTGAACGAACAGTTTGTATACGATCACGAAATATTTGTGTATCTTTGGATTGTATATTTACTTGACATATTGATTCAGCTTGTCCCATTGAGTTAACAGCTGTTATACGATATAATCCATGATCATTTTCTTTCTCACATCGATCTTTAATTAATGTACATAATTGTCCATCAAATGCCAATGTAACATCACGTGTATTTTTTAATGGAATATTATTACAATACCAAATAATCTTTAAAAATAAAATTATTTATTTTTTGTAATGAAAAAAGAAAAAAGAAGATTTTATTTTACTTCAGGTTCAGGATGAGCATTTATTGCAGCATGTAGTTTTAATTTTTGTCCTTCATTTATAGTTGTATCAAGAAGTGGTTGAACAAATATAGGTTTACATGGTGTATCGGACATTTCAGATTCACTAGTAGAACAAAAAATATTGAAATAGAAAAGAATGTCATAAATATTTTGTTATTTACGGTGTTCGACAGAAAAATTCTTCTACAGTAAGTTGTGTAAATGATCGTGCTTCACCTAAGAAATTACGAATTACAACTGCATACGAGCCTTCATCTTCTGGAAAAGCTTCTTTTATTAATAATGCTGTATAGTCATATTCTTTTACAACCTATTTTTTCGTAAAAGAACATAATCGAAAATTTGATTCAAATAAAATATTTTCCACTAACCGTAAAATCTCGTGAAATACCAAGTTCATCAAAATCAATTGGTATTCCATCTTTTAACCATTGAACATCACCTCTTGGATTCGCATCGAAACGACATGAGAGTTTAACTGGTTGTCCTTCACGTATTATATATGATGCTTTTAATGGTTCAGTAAGACGTGGCTCGTATTCCATTGACATTATAATGTCTAAAAACAAATTATTTTTAATTTTTCAAAAAATGTTTTACTAGTTTATCTATTATTTTTTTAGTATTTAAAAAACAATAAGTGATACTTTAGAAATCTATATATCTCCTATATGAATAACATATTTATCTGTCATAGTCGTCAAGAAGACAATATGGCAGACTGCCACTGTTGCCTTTCTCGACCTTCTAAATTTATACGTACGAAAGCGCAGGCATTGCTAACATCATCAACTTCCTTCTAAAGTCGACGATTGGATGTCTCCTATCTTTTTCTTTTTTTTTCTTTTTGCTGTCTGATTATATTATTGCGTATGTCTTTCTTTCTTATTTACCATGTTGTTGTTGATTAGAATAAATACAAAGATCAGCTACCGATGTTGCTTCACCAGTAATATTTCTTGCTCTACATGCATATTCTCCAGCATCACTTAATTGTACATGTCGAAGTGTTAAACGATATAATTGATGTTTCGATGTAGAATCCGATAGAGAATCTCCTTCACATAATTCAACACCATCACGTTCCCAAATGACATGTGGTGTTGGTTCACCATATAGAATACATTCAAATATAACGGTTGAATCAATAGATGCATCTTGTGAACGTAATGGTTCGACAAATGTTGGTGCATGATATTGTTGATATTTATTGTCATTACCAATTATGGGTATTCCAACTAAAATAAGATAAGCATAGAGGATAGAAAAAGAAATACGAAATATTCTTATATAATTATTTGACAAAATTTTATTAATATTTTCCCATCACAATCAAAAAAAATCCATTTTGGTAACAAAATCATTATTCTTTGAAAAAAAATTAGTTTATTAAGATGAATTATATGCTTTTTTAATTATTGTATGTATATGTAGAGTCTTTTTATAGCTTTGTATACATTTTTTTTAATGTAATAACTGACATATGACTCCGAAACGTTAGTGAAAAATAGTCTACAGTAATATTACTTAAAATATAGCAAAAATAGTACAGAAAGCAAATACAACAGGGATTATTTATATCATTCACTACTTGTTGACGCCATTATTTGTCTTATTCTACTGTCTGCCTGTCATATGATATCAGAAGACAAACATTAACTCTGTTTCTTTATTATCTATATCCTTTGTCCAACTTTGCTTCGTATGTTACGTATATCATCAAGAGATACATTCTTTTTTCCTTGGAAAGCAATTATTAACATCTATATTAGACAATCGAAGTCAAGTTTATTATGCTCGATTCTCTTTATATGATAAATATTGACACATTTCTAATTGAGAATTAATATAGTTCTTAAATACGTATTTTAACAAGTCAAATTTAATTTACAAAAATCTAAACGAATCGTTGATTTGAATAATATAACAATAATCTTTATTTTCATTATATAATATGATTAATCGACTCATCGATAGATACATAATTACATTGTTTTCATCAAGTTTAACACTCGTACTACGCATTTATAAAAGATGCTTATCTAATACATAAATTATATTCTTTTTTTTAATTACCTTTTACAATAAGATATGCGGAACTTTCTACAGTGCCTGCAGTATTACTTGCTCGACATGTATAATAAGCTGAATCATCTTTTTGTACATCAATAAGTGATAATGTAGCTAGACCACGTTCATATTGTATATCGTGGGTTAATGATGAAATAAATGTTTTATCTTTAAGCCAAGTCACATTAATTGGTTCAACTCCATCAATTATACATTCAAATGTAAATCTAAAAACATGGTTCTTTCAGAATTACAAAGAAAAATGGATTCATTTACTTTGTTCCTTCATTAATCGTTATATCTTTTAGTGGTTTAATAAAAACAGGAAGTTGTTTAGTTTCTTTGTAATAATCTGTTCGATGTTCAAAATTACGTTGAACAACTGATATATCTTGATGTACTTTAATAAATGCATTGATTACTTCAATATTTTTTGCGGTAACATGTTTTATTTGATGATGACCTTCATCAGGTCCTAAAAAAAATAAACATTATACAATTATATAATATCATTCCAAACAAACCGAAAACATCAACTGCTAATGTAGTAATATATTTCATTTTTTCTTGTTCATATTCTTTTCCTTGATCAATAGCTTTTGAAACTTTATCAAGTAAAATCTTTGTATCATATGCAGTTTGACAATGCATTGTATCTCGACCAATTTGTATTAAAAGTTGACTCGATTCTTGATGCCATTGTTCCATCTAAATCGAGAAAACAATATTTTTGCAAAGAATAATTTAATATTGAATTAAACCTCATCAATAAGTTTATAATAAGTAGTTGTTTTATCAACATGTTCACGATAATCACCAATAGATACATGAACCACGGATAATTTTTTTTCAACATCTCTTATTTCATATTCAACTTGTTCATATTCTGGATGTTTTTGCTGAATCATTATTTCAGCTGTCGTACGAAATCTTCGAACAGCTCGTTCACAACTCTGTAAAAACAAAATATTCATTACAAAAAAAATATTTATAAATTTAAAATACAAACATCATAAAGACGATTTATTTCATGCATCGTTTCAACACGATTCAGTGCATCTCGGTATGTTTGTGGAATACTTTGTTTTCGTCGATCAATTTCATGTTGTAATGAACTAATTTCATAAACAATCTTAATATAGAATAGAAAATATTATCTTTGGTTTCATATTTTTTGTTTTTATTACAAACCTTATATTTATCATCGAGAAATTGACACCATTCAACACGTTGTTTTAATTTGGATCGATTCTCTTCACATTGCTGTTGCCATTGAGTATATTTAGATTCAATTTCATTTTGTTTCAAATAAATTTCATTAATAAATGTAGTTGTTCCACACTGAAATTATTTGCCAAATGTTTATTCTAGATTTATATCATATTACTAACCTGTTGTGCTTTATTTTCAGCTAAACGAGCATCTTGTCGACATTGTTCGTAGGTTTGAATAATTTTTTCTCGTTCAGTTTCATATTGTCTCATTAAAACTTCTGTACTACGAATATCATTTGGTAATGATAGGAGTATTTGCTCATTATTTGTTAATTGTATTTCAATTTTCGATGTATTTTTATAATAATCTATCATTGTATGTAAGAAACTTCGTGTTTGATTAATTCGTGATAAATATTGTTGATGAACTTTAACAAGTTCATTAACAATTTGTTCTTTTTGTCCATTTGTTTCACCACGCATACTTAATTGTTCAGCTATTCTTAAACGATCTTCAACTTCACGTGTTATTTCCTATGAAAAAAAAATTTTTCTGTTAAAATAATTCGAAAATATATAATTTCTTTACTTGAACACTATTTGCAAAATCGCTAAGTAAACGTTGATATTTTTCAATATTATCATTTGTTGAAAATGATGCTGGAACAATATTTAATTCAAATCGATGAACTTTATCAATTGTCTAAAATATATATATTTAGTTTATTATAAAATCGAGGATTTTGTTTTCCTTACAGTTCTTGCATCGTAAACAAATTGTTGCCATTGATTTTTGAAATCTTTTAAATTTGCTAATTTTCGAATCCATAAATCGAAACTTGAAGATATCTGTTCAAATTTACGGGTTATATGTTCACATTGATCAAATATAGATCGTTGAGTATCATGTGATTGTAAATTAAGATGTTCAGATTCCTAGAGATAACATAATCAAATAAAAATATCACATAGAAAACAAAATACAATAATTTACCGTTTCCAAAGCATGACGAATACGTTTACTATTATTTATCAATTCATGATAATTACTTCGTAAATTCGACCATGTTTCTTCAATATGTTTTACTGCTGATTCTGGTAACAGATCAATATTATCACGATAACCGATTACATCATCAATACTAGCTAAACCATTTGATAACTAGAATAAAAAATGAATTATTTTATATATTAGATATGTAAGATAAACGAGACCTGTTCAGCTTGATACCGAAAATCGACATAGGATTGAGCAAGTGTATGACGTCGAATAATTTTATCAGATAAATTTTGCCATACGGGGAATATGTTGTCGAATCGTGTTCGTGCTGTTTGCCAGTTACGATCATTACTTAATTGTAATTCATGAACTAATGTTCCAAGACGATGTATATCTTCTTCACGATTCTATAAAGATTCAATCTATTTATCAGTCTATTCGATCATAATCTGTTTCTGTCTGGGAAAAAAGATAAAAGTTACAACACTTACAACTATTTTTCGATTTCTTATCATAAATATCGTTTATTTCAGTAGATATTCTAAAAGTATGAATACTGATTGATACAATCAATGCAATACTCTTCATATCGAATTTACAAGAACTGATATTTAGTAGCATCACTAGTATTAAGACGCTGTGAAATAATATTCAGTAAGTAAATTGTTTTTAACTAAGCCTTTGCAGATTTTGCTTTATATATGACAAAGATATAGACATCTAATAATGTTGATTCTGCAGTAAATGTTTTGTTAAAACTAAAATTGACTATAGTCTTTAGTTCTTATTCAAACAAGATGAAGACTTTATAAGAAAAAACAATACAATTATATCTGTGACATTACTATCCAATCTATATTATTAGACAGAAAAGCGGAAAGAGTTATAACTATTTTGATGGTAAATGGGGCGTCCAACAGTGTCAATATTTATTCATCTCAAATTTCTTTTATATTTTTATTTTATATATAGAGAGAGAGAAATGTCGAGTAAGACATATTCTATTAAACAGGATACTTTTGTTGGAAATGAAACTCCATGATTGCTCATAACTTGTTGCATATAAGAGCGACTATGTATTCCATCGTATCCGATATGTACAAGTAAACGATTTCAGATGCATATTTTCTTACATAATAAATAACATTTTAAGAAAAAAAATATATGCTAATTAATTAAAATAGTAACGTATACTGATATATGAAACTAGGTTTATTCCGATAATGATTTCAAATTCTTAGCATATACTCGCTCTAATGAACATTTTCTAATAAATGTCATTTAGCCAGAAGGAAATCATTTATGTACTCTGAATTATCATAATAATACAAATTACAACGATCTGTTACTATACTTAAAGAAAAACAAATGAAAAAAAAATGCCTTAGTGCTAAACACAACAATACCAAAGCGAATGATGAAAGTTTGTTGATATATTACGTAAAAACACTAGACATCGACCATACGTGTTAACATAATTACATGATCTAATATTTTCTACTAGGAATGATAAAGATAAATAAATAGAACCGATTTAATGAATCTAACCTTACAATAATGTTCATATTTAAAATAAAAACTTCAGGGATTGTATTATTAGATTACGATTAGGAAATATCGTTTAGTTTAAAGTATAAAAACTAAACAAACAATTCTGAATATCGTCGTACGATCAGTAATGTCATTATCGTTGACATTAGATATATTATCTTTCTAACCGTAGACACAAAGACAGATAGTAATCAACACATTGACAACTGTTGATCTGTCGCGGATAATAGGTTTCATTGAGAATATATGCTAACCTTTAAATCACGTTCAATAATTTGTTGATGAGATTCTAAAAAATCATTTGCTTGTTGGGTTATATCAATATTATTATTTAAATCAATAAAAATTCTATTAGAATTAAGAAAACGTTCAGCTACATTATATAACCATGATTGTAATCTTGTACATTCATGATCAAATGTTTGATATAATGATGAACCTTGTCGATCTAATTTATCATAATCTTCTTTTAATTTAAGTCGTATTTTTTCAATACGTTTTTCTAAATCATAAACACGTTCACGTATTGTTTGAGTACTTGAATCATTTATTGAAGTTTTTTCTAATAAAATATGTCCTTCACGAAGTGGAATATCTGTTGATTGAATTAATTTTTCATTAATTTGATTATATTCTTGTATTAAATCTTCACTTGATCGTAATTGATTCGTTGAAAGAGATAAAAGTTGTGTATCAAGTGAATCAAGTACTGTCAATGCATTTGATGAATCAATATAAAATTTCGATGTTAATCTTAATAATCTACGTCGACTATCAAGTTTAAGCGCCCATTTTTCCCATAAGGCTAAAAGTGTATGAGCATGTGCATGTAAACGATCAGCTCGTATTAAACCCGTATGTACCCAAGAATCAGCAGCACGCATACAACGAAGAACTCGATCATGTACATTCTAGAAAATAAATCAAATCGATTAATTCACAAAAAAGATTTATTCAAACAAATAACTTGTGATTCATGTTCAATTTCATTATGAATATTTTGTAATCGTTTATTATCATCTAATGTTCGTCCAAGATCAGTATTTTCTAAATAAGATTGACCTCGTTCTTGTAACCAATTTAAAATCTAAATAAGAAGTTATTATTAAAATCGAATTTATTTTTTGATGTATTATTACTTGATCAATATCATCTTTAATTTCAGACATTTGTATATATTCACTTAATATTTTTCTATTTCTCTCCCATTCATCTTCAAATTGTTGTCGTTCTTCATGATGTATACCAAGTAAATGTTCAATTTCAAAACAAGCAGCAACAATTGAATGTTGATTTATTGATTCATTTAATGAACCTAAATGTTTAATACATTCAAGTAATCGTTGCCCTTCATTTATTGTATCTAATGATGCTTCTAAAACTTCTTTTCGATATAAATCATGTTCATCAAATAAAACATTCAATAATTTATTATCAAAATTTGCATTTTCTAATGATGTAAACCATGAACGAGCATCATTAACTCGTTCATTAAACTAAATAATAAAATTTTTTTTTATCTAAATTAAATTATTTAATTAATATACTCGATTCGCTATTGTATGATAACGTATCGCCTGATTTAATAGATTCCTTCGACCTTCAAGTTGTAAATTAAGTTCTTTCCATGCTTCACCTAAACTACGTGCCATAGCTTCGTATACTTCATTGTATGATTTTTGTTGAGTGACAAGATCGTCTGCACGTGTCAACAGTTCTGTTATGTGATCTTGTTTAGCCTAGATAGTGTTAATTGTAAGTAAGAAAGATAACAAATAAAGAATTATCATATTTGTTACTTTCAATTTACTGATTAATTCATCATGAACAGTTTGATATTTTATTGTATCTCCAAGATTTGAACCAATATCTAATAAATCAGGTTCCATTTGTTGAATACGTACTCGTACAATATCTGAACTCTTTTATTAAATTCAATTTACAAAAGAAAATATATATATTCATTTATAAATATAAATTACATACTCGAAGAATAGCTAAAATAATTCTAGATTCACCAGCTTGAACAGCAATGGTACTAATTGTAGTTGTCGTTGGTGGATTATCTGTTGAATTAAATATTGCATCTGTATCAGATACATTTACATGAACTTGAGATATAGATCCATCACTAGCTGATGTGAAATTAGCCGAGGCCGTTGTTCGATGAGGGTGGTGATGTTCTTCTTGATCGGCCATCGGTTACAAAAAAATTAATTTTATTAGACTGTATATATATGAAAATGTTCACTAACACCACCACCCTTTAGCTAAAACTTGTCGACCTTTGACAGTTGTTCTTTTTCAGATATGATAGACTCTATTGCTATTATTGATAGATGCAATACGTAAGAGCTTTTATTTCTTCTAGTAATACTAGTTGCAATCACTAACCATACAAATACAAGGCTTTGTATAGTACTGTTCGATGATGTTATCCTTCTTCTATTGAGTTTATATCATAGAAGAAAAAAGAAGAAAGAAAAAAAAAGAACAACAACAACGACGGACAGAGTCAACGATAGGTTACATAGTAGCCAAAAGAGAGAGAAAGAAGCAACTATCGATAAATGGAACCAAACATTATATATATTATATAGAGCTGTACATAACCGTCGTTTACATCTTAAACAGCATCGATGATAAATGAGAACGATTCACAAGAGAAAGAAGGTTACCCACTGTTTGTATGACCAATACATATAATCTGTTATAATCAATTGTTCTGTCTATATATGTAAATGTTTTATTCGTTAGATCATCAATTGAAGAATATTTTTATTTGTAGAAAAAAAAAGAAACAAAAAAAAAAAAAAGAAAACAATTTTTCTTATTATAACAAAAAGAAAAATAATCATAGTTATACACACATACATATATAGGCACAGGTAAAACACGTATACAATCAGGAGAAATATAGCATTTACTAAAAAACATTTTTGAAGAAAAAAAAAGAAACAGAAATAATTTGATTAGATAAAATGAAAACACCGGTAGGGAAAAATTTATTTGCTATATTTTTGATTTGAAAAGAACATCATATCTATTCGGATTGTACAAGTAAATGTGTTGTTTCAGCTGCCTCAAGAATCTATTAGAAAATAAATGAATTATTGATGAGAAATTTTCAAAAAAAATTAATAGATCATTATTACTTGTCGAATAGTAACATTCGCATCTTGTTTAGCTTTATTTAATAAATCTGTTTGACCATGTAATAAAGCAAGATTATATGAAAAATTATCAATTGCTTTCGTAAATTTTTTTCCACGTAAACCATTTGCTTCAAGTAATTTTGGAATGTCTTTACTTAATTCGCATACTTCAGCTTGTACACCAAATAACTATATAATAAAAATAAATAATTCATTTTTTCTATCAATTATTTAAATCGTTCATTTACTTTTTTGTGTATCACACTACCATTATCAACTAATGCTCGACATCGATTAATAACCTAAAATAAAATAATTTGTATTTCATTTTTTTTCAAAATATTCTACATACTTCTTCTAAAGCAACAACACTTTGACGAGATAATTCAGGTAGTGTTGTAGAATATTCGAAAATTGGTATCTGAAAAGAAAAAATATTCAAATTTGTTAATCTATCTTATAGAGAACGCAAAACATCTGCTAATTATATATCATATAACATCAGAACATATTTTTGCTTATCTATTCCGGATATAATCATTGACAAAAAGACAAAACGGAAGTTAAGGATATTTTTCTATAATCAAAATTTCTTATCTTATCGAGTAAATTCTTCTTCGTTTTTTTTTCAATATTCAAATTTTCAATTTTTTTTTCTTATAACAACTTACATCGGATTGATTTCGAATAGTAACAGCACCAACAAGATTGGCTTTTTGTAATCGACCAGCAATTTTTCTTACACATTGTTTAACATTTGATATGTCAGGTAAACCACACATTTCATTTAATTCGCAAAGACTTTGTTCAACAGCATGTCGATATTCAAATGCTGTCTCCAATGGTTGAACAACAGACTAGAAATTCATTAGATTTTTTTGAGAACAAGTAAATATTTATTTTGTGGTTTTACTTTGAATAGATCATCGATTTGTCGATGATTTACGGGTCGAAATGCGGCAACACGTAATTTACGACGTAATAAGGAACGACGATAACGGGATAATGATCGACGAGGTTTCTATTTTAATTTAAAAAAAAAAGATTAGGAATGACAAAAAGAAAAAAAAAACAATACGTACAACAGCTAATGATTTGCTGTTGATAACAATGTGCACAAAGAGATAGGCATTGGCAATGAGATCACCACCAATAGTATAAAGATGAATATGTCTATAACCTGAAACAAAAATGTTTTCTTAGAAAATAGAAATGAATTCTAATTCATTTACTAACCTGGTTGAATACAATCAAATGGTAATGTATATTGTCCGATAAAATCATAATCAAGTGATTCATCATCAAGTACAACAAATCTAACAAGTGCTAATTCAGGAAAAGCTATTTCGAATTCAAATGCTTCATTAAATTGTGGACTTTCCCCTAAAGATATTTTTATTTCCAAAACAAAGGAAAAAAATTTCATTCTTACAATTATGATACACGGTTTTTGTTCGTACTTCATCACAATCTCTTGGTACACCAAATATCTGTACAACAACATATGGATCAACAGAATTTGTTTTTAATTCTGCTTGTTCAGGTTTTGGAAGATGTAAAGCACTAATTACCTAATTTATTGTTTAAATAAAAATAAATAATTAATTCAAAAAAGAAACGAGATAATACTTTAATATGAAGTATTTGTGGTGTATTTGATGAATAAAGATTTGTTGAAAGTCTTCCACTAACAATTGATGACGAAGCTGCTGCAGCAGCAGCTGCATTATCGTAACGTAAATATGTTGGTTTAAGTACATAACCACATCCGCCATTACTTAAAAATCGACCAAAATAAACATCCATAAATTTGCCAGCTGTTTGATAATTCATTGAAACTAAAATAGTTAATAAATTTATTATTGATATAGTTAATTTATTATTTTCAAATGGGAAAATAAAAAATGAATTTTTTATAAAAAAACCAAAATATATAATCAAGCCTCAAGCAATAAGCAATTTAGCTGAAGCATCTATTCACCATCGGATCTCGAAAAAAGTCATTGTTAATTCTAAATATGTTTTTTCTCGTTCTTTCTATGTATTTTATTAAAGATAAATTTGTATATATTTTAATATGAAAACTAACCCATTTGACAGCCAACATTCCAGAAATCTTGTGGATTTAAATTTGATGAATCAACACGCCATGTACCAGGAGATATACGTGAAAGAAAACGTTTATTATAATTAACAAATTCTTCAGCATCACTTGTTGCTAAACGTAAACCAGCATTTTCACTAAATGCACAAACTTGTCCGGATTGTTCTAAAACAATTTTTATTTTTCGAAATTAAAAAATATCGATTTATGAAAAGTTTTCTTTTGCTTACGTTCATTAAATGATGTTTCGAAATCTTCAAATGGTGCCGAACGAAGTAGAGTAACAAGATCGGAGAAAGCAAGAGCTAATCGTCGATGTCTTTTACTACTCATATCCTATATAAAATAAAAATTAATTAGTTTAAATATTAAAAGAAATTATTACTTTTTTCGATCGTCTTCTGTTATCTTCATAACAATCTTCATCATCTGTTATCTCTCCATATTCTTTATTGATTTCATTTGAAAATGATGGAGGTAATTTTTTACTCTAAAAATTTTTATTATAACAAATACAAACGAAAAATCGATTTTTTTAAAATTTACCTTAATAATAATCTTTCCACGTAAATCATTTGGTGTTGGAAGAGGACGATATTCATTTGATAGCGTATTTATATCAGTTGTTAAATGATCAAGAAAGATTTTGTCACCGAATATGTCAATAAATAATTGAGCGACACGTTCTTGTTGACTAACACTACATTGTAACTCAATACATAATATTAGTGGATAACTAAAAACGACAATAAAATATCAGAATATGACTATTTAATTCTTTTCTACCTTGATGTTTCAAAAGCATAATTATTAATCGCTTCAAGCGCTTCATTTAAAGGAATACGAGATGTTAATGTTCCGTTATGAATTAATGGTTGACCATCAACTCCATCAAAACAATGTAGTTCTAAACAACGGCATCCACGCATTAATGCGTGAATAAATCCATCAACACTTGATGGACCTTTTAATTGATCAGCCAAAAGAAATCTATGAAAAATAAACAGTATACATATATTAATATATCCTTTAGCTTATTACCTTACAAATTAATATATCTATATAAATTCTTTTCTTAAAGTAAGTAACATAATATTTACAAATTCTATTCTCATTCAATGATATATATATATATAAATACAAAACAGCTATTATTTTTTCTCCTCATATATCTTTATAATGATGAATTGCGTGATTGGCATTCATTATTCATTCCGATGTATCTTCGAATTAACATGCTCTTTTTCTATAGACTCTATATATATTATAATCTATAATGCATGCATATTTTATACGACATGATCATAAATAAATAAATATATATGTCTTCATGTCAAATCTTTATGAATATAAAATCGAAAATTTTTTATCTTATACGATAATAACAAAAAATATCGAATTAAAATAATTCCCGAAGATATATATTTAAGTATTAATTAAATTTTTTTCTTGAGGCTTAGATGTTAATTCAATTTTAGTTTCTTATCGATTTCCGGAATAATAAAATAAAATAAAATATGTTATTAATTTCTATTTACGTATTATGTGATGACGCAATAAAATAATGATTAAGTGGATGATCCATTTCTTGACATACACTTCGATTATTTGGATTAAATATATCACATTCAGGTGATAGAAGATAATTAGTAAAACCTAAAGGAAAAATATTTTCTTAAAGAAATTTAGATATATTTTACATACCATCAATGCCTAAATGTCCTAAAAGCTTAGCTTCTGTTGATGGTTCAAATTCTTGAATGATTTCTGTACATTTTTCACTGGTTATTTTTGACATCTATAATAATTAAATTATAGAAAAAAAAGCAATGAAATATTTTTTTTCGTCTTTACGCCTTGTTCAGCTTCGAGAAATAATGTTAGATCTTCAGTTGATAAAAAATCTTGATTACGAGAATATCTGTTAATATAAAAAGTTTCTAATTAAAAGATTACATTTAAAAAATTAAATTTACCTGACAAGTAGATGATAGATTTCAGGTCGAGTTGAAAGTTCTTTGAATACATTAATAAGTTCATTAGTTGTAAAATATCCTCGTGCATCTTCTGGTTTATTCGCTTGGATTTCCTTTTTGTAAGAAAATTTATTTAATAAATATAAATGAGAAATTAATTAAAATTTTGTTTTACTTGTAATCGAACTTTAGCTTTATCTTCTGAAATACCATAATCAATTAATAATCTCACAGCTTCTTCTTCATCAATTGAATTTGTATTTGTATTTGTAACTGGTCGATTTTCATCTGGATTTATTTGCTCAGGTTCATTTGTTAATGTCGGTAGACCGACTGCAAATGCATCACGTAACCATCGATCACGCATTTGTTGACGATCTTCAAAATCTATGTTTGAAAAGCATTAATATAAAAATCTTCTATTCTTGATTCTTTTATTATGAATAGGGGAGAAAATATTATGGGTACAGATGAAGTCATTAGAATACGTCTTATATAACACGTTCGAACAAAGCAACTCGATGTAAACGGAAGGAAGCGATTTTCCGAGTTTCCGGACAAGCGTACTATTGATAAAGATCTATAGAAACTCTAATAATTTTACTGTTTTTAACAAAGTATTTTATCAACATCATTATCATGAAATTATACTAAATTTTGTTTTTTTAAAGAAACATAATCAACTGAATATAATTACCTGCTGTTGATGGTGCAGTTCCTTGACCAGAAATAAGACATGATAAACCAGTTACCCATATATTTGCTTCATCAGCACTACTTGCTACAAGATCTAATGAAACATATTGATTACTTCCATTAGTATAAATAATCGAAAAAAGTGATTCATTTTGAAATTGATGTGTATATTCACGAAGACGTTCAGTTGTTTTTCCTAATCGTATTTCTTTGATCGAATCAATTGTAACTAAGAAAATATAAACGCAATATTGATTTTTTTTTGTTTCAATACAAAAAATAATTTTACTAGTAGCTTTTGATGGTTTTTTAGATGTTGGATACCAACTAATTGCTGTTAATGTATCATTAAGTTTATATAAACGACGAAATTGACGTGCATATGAACGAACTTTAAGAAAATCACTTCCTTCTTGCATATAACGAAGACAATCACAAACTAGAAATAAGAAAAAAAATAGATTTATCAATAGAATGAATATTTTACTTACCATCAGCGACTTTCTTCTCAAATGGCATCGTACTAAATGAAACAACTTTTCTTTTAAATGGTTTATTTGTTTGATTTTCTTCATTATTATTTGTAAGTCCTGTTGAATTTTCTTCATTTGTTATTTCATCATTATCATTATTTGTCGTTAATATTTGTTGATTATCATCGTTTGTTGATAAATGATTAGTATTATTGTTATTAGGTGTGACAATAACATCATCTTGAAAAAATGCTCGACGTCGATTTATTTGTTGCTGTTTTCGTAGAACACTTGTTGTGCAAATAGACGATGATCGACAAGATACACTTGATGTTGTACTATTTGAAGATGAACGAAGATTACCAAGATTATTTTCATCCAAATCTTCTTCTTTATTTTGTTCACCATTCATTATTGTCGATAGATATTTGTTATAATTAATGTCATTTTCATATGTTAAATCATGTGTAATATGCAACTTTGACGGCTGAACTTTAATCATAAGTGCCTACAGTAGGCTGTATTAATTGTTGTTTAGTTTTCATTCTAAATAAAAAAAATATATAGAATTTGCTATATCAATAATAAACAAATATTAACTGAATTGAACTATATATATATATATATATATAAATGTGTTGTGTAGTTGGCTATTCTAGATTACATGTTCATGACATTTCTCTGTCACTACTACCGTATGTTATTTGATGCTCGTTATAGAGAGAAAAAGGAAAATAATCGAATAGAAAGAAATAGAGAAACGAGATGTGTTTCTTTTTTTTGATAAAGAGAGAGGAAAAAAGCGAACATGAAATAAAGAAGGAAAAAAAACATCTTAATCCCCGTGAGCATAAAAAAAATCTAATGAAATAAATGACTATAGAGTGAACATCGTTGATGAAGGTTTTCTAATGATAAGGCGATTACATACTCAACACTCAATACACAAATCTGTCTTGTAATGAAATAGAACCTAGCTTGTTGACTACTACTGCTACTACTAGTCTCGATTCGTCATTGTATATGAGTGTGTGCGCGTAGATAGAACAATGGGAAAAGGATGAAAAAATGTAATTTCCCTTCTCTTCTTCGACGAGAATGACTTTGACAAGCTGAATGCACATGTGTGCACGCACAGACACACACAGATTGGTACCAATGTCTTTTTTTCCATTGTGCTTCGGAATTTCTATTCATAATCTATTTTTAAACTTGTAACAAGCGAACAAATATATAGAATGTTTTAACATGCGTTAGAAAAGAAAAGACAACTATAATTATAATAAATAAATCGTTATAATTTTACTCCCTGTTTTTTTCTGAAGAAAAGAATTAAATATATGATGATTATATAAGAACGCAGAAAGAGAAGAAGAAAAAAAACGAATGAATATATAATATACGTGTTTTTCTATTTTCTTCATTTTTTTCTTTTAATTTTGTTTTCTCAATATATGTTAGTATCAATGAATTCTATTACTTTATAAATAAAAGAAACAACGACATCATGCTGTACTACTATCAGGAGAACAATATGAAAAGATTGTCAGTCAAAAGAAAAAATAAAAAAAATTATAACAAAAGACTATCGAGCGAACTAAATTACCATGACAGTATATTATATGGTAGAATTTATGTATAGACACGCTGTTCTTAATAATGATGATAATTATCATAAGAATCCAAATGTTGTTAGAATCATGATTATTCTTATTTATGGTGCAGATGTTGTAATACCAGGAAAAAAAAGTCTCAGCATCTGTTTTCCACCCCTATCGAATGACGTCGAGAAAGAAGAACTGTTGCAGTATATATCAAAATAGAATATATGAGAAATCAAACATATAAATATAGAGAAAGAATTGTTATTTTACACTCTTCTTTTTTTTATATGATTGATTTTACTTAATGATCTTCATTGGTAATACCATTGATGCTAATGATGATAGACAAATAAAAAGCTCTTATTTGTCATTATAATATCAACGTATTGATTTTTACGCTTAGTAAGAAGTGCTAATTGTTCGCACTCTATTAACTCAATCGATCAAATGATCACGGTATGTTAATTTTGTTGTTTGGGGGCATATGGAGAAAAACCCTGGTCGTCATCATCATAAAGTCAATCAATAATATGACGTCGTATTTCTCTTTCATAAAGCGGTTGCACATACAAATATAAATATTATGTCAATTGGACCACGTCTATAAAGTAGGGAACAAAATAAACATGACATTCAATACAGAGAACTAAACGCACGCAAAACACTGATCTTATTACCCCCATTGGAGCAATTTACTACGCATGTTCACTACAGCACTTTTTTTCTTGCATCGTCGTCTCGTCTCTTGAGATACAGATAGTCAGCTGCGTGTGTTCGTTAGGCGGAAATTATCAACGGAATGAGAAGAGAAAAGGGCACTATTCTAAAAGCCATCATAAATAAGCCTTACGGGTATAGTTTGTTGAAAATGATCATCCTTAATCCAAAGAAAAGAATATGACGTTAAAAATAGCTGTCATATAAAAGATTTATTCAGCACGCTATACAGAAACCTAAATGATTTGTCATAAAACATCATTGATTTATCTATTAAATATATCTTCAAAAAATTTGTATATGAATAAAATTTAGCATAATTAATAGTCCATTAAGTATGTAATGTTGCTATTGTATTCCTTATCACAATTTTCTTTTTAACTGTTTGTTTGTTTTTTTATATGAAATATATTTTTTTTCTTAAACTTAATCTCAGATTAATGATCTATTAAAACAAACTCAGATTACATTTCTATATTTAAATATGTCTAAAAAAAGAAGAAGAAGAAGAAGTCAATTCTATCTAATAATAATATTTCCAAATAAAAAACATTTTTTCTTTGATAAACATACAATGAGTCAAAAGTCCAAAGAAAATTTCTTATCAATCACGTATTCGATTATGAATACATGCTATATCCTTGAAATCATTTATCATGAATCGTATTTGATAGATTCTATTATGAAGAAATCTTAGAAAATTGTTTACGAAACAAATATTTTATCCTTAAAAATCTTTAAAAACAAATCAGGATGTATCTATTGAAGTGTATTCAAGTGAAATAAATAGTTTACATTGTCTATTGTTTTGAATGAAAAGATAAGCTTCACCTTCAAAGTATTACTCATATTGCAAATTAAGAAAAGAAAACGAACTATTTTTATCATTAAGACGTATAAAGAGTTGATGTTTATACGCTTGTTCTCATCTTCAATTGTAACAAAACGTGAACAAGCTTATTTTCTAGTTCTGAAATAGCATCTTCTAACATATACGACATACTCATTTATAATTGTAGAAATCTTCTAAACATTACTCTTCTCAAACTCATTCTCGTCTAGTCATTTAATAACACAAGGAAATACTGGCTATTCGAAAATATCTACTTTACATAACGATAATAATAGAGTAGATATTATCTATTTCTAGACAAATTTTGTATTATATACTACAACTGAAAATAATTTCTTCATTATTATGACATATAAAATAGTAATATATCTTACTTTTTTTTTTGTCAGCATATATATGATATATATATATTAAATAGTATTCTTCAAATACGAACCAATCTACAAAATGGGAACATATTGATCATTAATCAAATTTGACGATGACGACAACAACAACAACAACAACATATATATTTCTCTCTCTTTTTTTTTATATTTAAATTTATTTCATAAAATAGATACATGACACAAAACAACACCGAATAAGTATATATTGATGCTTAAAAACTGGATTATAGATTATGGAACACATGAGAAGAAAAGCTGATGTTATTTAATACACGCATGAGAGAAGAAGAGATTAATACGGAAGAAAAAAAAAACAACAAATCACTGTTATCTATATACAAAAAAATGCAAATCATCTTATATACATGCATATATATATATATATATATAAATCAATTAATCTTGATCATCAATAATATCATTTGTAAGAAAAATTTTTGGTGAAATTATTTTGATACGACGAAAATCAATTATTAATGTAAACATATAAATAAGAAGAAAACTTGTTAAAATCCATGCTGATATAATAGTACATAAATGACATATCCAACCCTAGAATTTCATAATGAAATTTTTTAAATAATACTAACAAAACAAATTCACACATACAGAACTTGCTGGTGTCCATAATTTTTGTTCATTATTATATTTAACCACTGTAATTGTTTGAAAAACAATAACTAAAAAAAAAATAAAGTAATTATTTCCTATAAAAATTCTTAATAATTAAATAAAATAACAACAATATCAAATAGTACGTGATTTATTTTTGCAAATAGAACCATATGTATTCAAAAAAAATCATACTAACGTATAATTTTCTAACAAGACTATTGACATCTCCTGACTTTGAATAGAAAAAAGGAAGTAACTAACATTTAAAATATTTTTTGTCTATTATTATTTTCTTTTCTTTATCTTATAGTAAATACAAAAATTTGATTTTGAAATTATTATAAATATATGTATTCCATAAACATATCTATAATTACAATCGTAAAATTTTTTTTTGCTTTCGTCATTAATAGATTTCATATCTGTAATTCTATAAATAAAGTACAACAAAACAAAAAAGAGACATTCAGGATATATTAATCTGTCAAAAATATAAATCAATAATCGATCTATAACGTTCTCTCTTTATTATAATATGAAGTTTATAATTAATTACGTGTTTGTAATACATATTCTATATTTACTATAACATAAATCATCAGTATATATTTCATTTATAAATTGTTAATGTTTTATAATCCTGTCATTATAGACTCGTTTGTTTCTTGTTCTATTATTAATAAATAGAAAACTAAAAAATGCTATTATCCAGATTATTTCATTGATTGACTAATATATCTATATCTCATTCATCATAACTGTTATATCAAAGATTTTGTTTTATATAACAATGATTATCAATATTCTTCTTACATGCAATGAGTGCCAAAGTACAGATAGCTGTGAGTATAGTGCGAATGATCGGTAATATTCGACTTGAATATAATAATGGTCGAATCCATATTGATAAAAGCATTTCACAATAGAGTGCTCCAACGCCAGCAACAAATGTTAAATATGTTGCAAATAATCGAACAGGAAATACATTAGCATGCTATAAATAACAATGATGATAAAAATATTGAAAAAAAAAAGAACATGTTAGATTACTTACTGGGAAGTTCGAAATAATACTCATACTAAATGCACTGGTTATGCCACAAATAAGAAAAGTTAAATTTGATTGAGAATATTTGACTCCACATGTTGGATTATTTCGAATAAGTTCAGCACTTAAATAAGAAAAATAATTAATTCTTTCTTTCTTTTTTTTTTAATTAAATATTTATTTACATTTGACGATAACGAATATAAATAGTAATGACAACTAGAATTAGAAAAAAAAATTCTTTAGGTACGTTTCTCGACATTTAAGAAAAATGACTTACGAACAAATGATGCAAAATTAATAATTTGTGAATAGATACATGATTCCGGTGAATCAGTCGATGAACGACTAAGGAAATAAAAGATAAAACAATATAAGTACATTTAACTAATTTTTTAAAATCAATTTATACCTGACAAATGGAAATTCAACTTTTGAATGACCAAGTTCAACAGCGACAATAAAACTAAAAGATCAAATTAATAACAAAAATATTCTTCTAAATTTAATTAACTTACGAAAGAAAATAAGCAAGTGGTACAAGTATACACACTGAAAGTGGAAATATATAAAGACATCGTTCAATCATTTTTTTTTTCTAATAGAATAAATAAATCTAAAAACAACAAGATTTTTTTTTTATTCGATCTGACAAATCAACCAAACAAACAAAATAAGAAAAACCACTGTCAAATTAAACCGGATAAAAAACATAAATATCACACATTGTTATGATAAACATACAAAAAAAGAAAAAAGAAAAGCAACAATTTCGAAAATAAATAGGTTCTATTTCATTTGTTTTGAGCAAAATAAAAATCACTTGAAATTTTTTACTGATCGTTCATATACACAATGGACAATACCATTCACCGGGTGGTGGTTCACTTAATCGCGGATTTAAACAATCCATATGATAAGCTCTAAAATAAAAGAATGAATGTTTAGGTATTATAGATTTCTTTTTGTTTTCTTTTTGTAAATCTTTACCGATCACAATAGTCACAAAAAAGTAATTCATCATCATGTTCAACTGTTCCACATTGAATACATTTTTTACAGTCAATACATTGCCATGCATATGTTTTTATTGTTTTAACAATATTAGTATTTTCAAAATTTAAACATTTATATGCATGCATGCTTTTTTCACATTGTGAACAACGAATAAGTTCATCATTATTCATATTTGCTCCACCACACATTGTACAAGTTATTAATGATAATGGTTTAGCTTGAGACTGAATAAAAGAAATAGACTAAATTAATGATATGATTAGCATTTTTCATTTGACAATGACAGGCAACATTTTTTATTAGTCATTTTATATCGTAAAAGACATTTTTGTAGTTCAAGGATTCTTTCATTAGTTACATGTCATCCTAGAGATTGAACTTCCTTTCTTTCTTTCATTTTTTTTTGATTGATATAAATATTCTAGACAAGTCTAATAAATATATTTGATAAAAATATAGTTCCACATACAAAAGCATCACACAAGTTTCAAGGGCATAAACCATTGTTATGAGTATTTAACTATATGTTTTTTTATCAAATAAATTCATTAGTTAAATATTAAAGATCAATACCTGAGTTTTATTTGTTGTTTTTTTTGAGTTTCGTTGTTTTTTAATAATAAAATCTGTATCTTTTTTTTCTAATTTAATTTGTATTCTAGTTGAATCAAGTGCAAGAGCATCTTCAATTAATTTATCTCTTTGAATCGTTACAATAGGTTGTGTAAACATATTTGATAACATTTGATTTGTTTTAATTTGTTGTTGTTGTGTTTTTTCTGTCATTGCTTCTTGTTTAAGTAATGACACTAATAATGATTCATTTTTTGAGTTATGTCGACGATTAATTTGTTCACTAAAAATAGATTTTTAGAGAGAAAAAAAGAAATAATAATTGACATGTTTGTTTTAATTTAAATTACTTTTGTTTCGATTCATCTTGACAAGTCATTAAATGTGTTTGCAATTGATTTTTATTTTTAAATTTTTGATTACAATTTTGACAATCAAAATTCATAATCATTCGTCGTTTACTTATTCTAGTTGATTGTATAGATTCATTTAATATTACAACTTGATCATCATTTGTATTCAATAATGGTTCAGTTTTAATTTCAGATGTAAAATTTTCTGTGGAAAATTCTTCAAATGGTTTTATTGATTCATTTGTTTCATTTAAATCAATTTTACTACTAGTTTGTTTATTGAATGATGTTAACAAATATGGATTATATCTTGTCTGACGATAATATGATCGTCTAGGATAAACACATATTTGATCAGCTCGTGTTACATTGACACGATCCGAGATTTGATGATAATGTGAAGAACGTTTTTGTTGTATACCAGTTTGACCATCAAATACATCCGATATACGATGACGTCGATCACGTAATAATGACTAAAAAACAATATTAAGCTTGTTGGGGAAAAATTCTTTTTGACATATAAAAATAGAAATTTTTCTTTTACTGTATTTTTAGAATTTTTCTCTTGACAAGAATGACAAATTCCTTCGACATCTTGACAACAACTCATATTTATTTATAAACAATATTTTTTTTTCCTCCAAAAGAACATACAGATTATATCATGATGAATATTTATATAAAAATCAAAAAAAGTTTTTTTTTTATATTTAATTAATCTGACTATAATTCATTTAAGATCGAAAGAAGATCATTTTAAATATTATAGCAAGTAAAAATTAATTAATATTATTTATTCTATAAGCAATAGTGTAACAATCATCAATGAAAACACCTTTCCCAGAACATTACAAGTGTATTTGATAACACCCATCTTATGTATACTGTATACTTCGTTTCCCACGAGGTCACACATGCATTCTGTGTGATGTTTTATTCTCTTTGAATTACCATAGAACAGTTCTATATATCTCTGTTATATTAGAATCAAGGAATCTATCGTACAGGAAATAAAGAATCTTATCAAACATAGAAGAAGAAGAAGACCTCGAATCAAGGCAAAAACAACAGATCTAGAAGAAAACTTGTATATATAATCAAATGAAATCTACTGTATGATTTTTTTATATCTAACCATATTTATCGATTATACAATATCTTCAATCGAAATAACAAAAAGTGATTACTTTATTTCTATGTATTAATATAGACTATTATTTGTTTAATCTTCTGAGATTTCTACTTGAAAGAATAAATCCGCCCTATTATAGATCAAAACCCTAAGTTTATAAGCTTAATAAACATGCGAATATACGGGGAGTATGTTTTTTTAGTCATCCATCATATATAAAAAAAAATAATATAAAACAAGAAAATTACTTGATTATATTTCGATGTTAATAATATCGATTCATCATAATTTCTTCCAAGAACTTGAATAACAGATGAAATTGGAATAATAATAGGAGATGTTGATGATGTTATCATAATTAAATCTGAAATACAAAACATCAATTAGCAATATATATGCATACAAAGCAAGCAAGCAATTTAAAATAAATTATAATTCGAACTAAACAATTTGTAATACATTGGACGGGATATACATATATACACATATAGAAATATAAAGATAAGTAAAGCAAAAACAAATAAGTTCATCAGTCATAATACTGATTGTTTCGTTTTCTTTTGTTTGTCTTGTTCAACACACGGGCGGCAATTTAAAATTGATCTGACCGTACACAAAAAAAAGTTCTTATTGACCACCAGTAGATGCTTTATTAGTAGTGACAATAACAGTGACAATAACGGCCACAATAACCAAAACTAATAGAACAATAGTTAGTGTACAAAGAAATTTTCGCCGATTGCATCGTTGATAACATCTTCCAGTCTAAATTAGAAAAATAAATATCAGTACTTATTCATTGTAATTGTAGACAACAAAAAATAAATAACCTTGACAAGACGACTAAAGAAAAAAAGAAGCAAAAGAAAAAATACAATTACCTTTTATCTCGTTCTTTTATTTTTTTATTTCATTTTTTTTTTGGTTTATTGATGAAAAAATATAAAATATATAAAGCACAAGCATATCATTCAATCTACATGCGACAACATAACATAAAGAAATAGAACAACAACAATAATAATAATCAATAACAAACATTAATAATAATAATAAATATAACATACGGATCCTAAAGATTCTTCACTAAAATAATGGCGAAGTGTATAACGATTTCTGTCATGTCTTTGCATATTATCCGATGTTATTTCAGATGTATATTTATGCATATTTTCAACTAAAAAATAAACAAATTCCATAAATACTTTTTTTTTGAATAAAATATATATAAACCAAATTCTTTTGAATAAGATGTAGCATGAGTTCGTAATTGATAAACATCAATTTGTTCGATTTCTTCTCGAAGTAATTGAACACCTTGAATTTGACTAAATTAAAAAAATTTGATTTCTTTATTATTATTTTCAAATTTTGATTTTAGTACTTTAATAATTCAATATATCGATTTGTTTCATTTTCTTCTGCTTCAAGATTTTCATATGAAACTTCATCGGCATTTATCGTTGAATCTTCAAAACCCAAATTAACAACATTTGTACGATCTTAAATTCAAAATAAATATATAAATAATTTAAAGATGAATAGATATATCATACCTCCACTAGCTAAGGGAAAATAAACAAGTAGAATTGAAAACTTATGAAGTAAATCTTCATAGTAATTAAGCGAAGCCAACGTAAAACACAAACATTTTTCAAAACTACGCATTGATAATTCACTTTTAACTCTAAGAAAAATAAAACCTTAGAAAATATTTCATTTAGATTAATTAACTTACGAAGCGGTTGCTGATGCTGCTTTTCGTATTAATTCTCGTTGTTGATAAAAACTACGATTAAGTCGTTCTTTAAGCTTTTGAATCTTATTTCGTAATTTAGTTGTATCACATGATGTACCGATATAATAAATATATTGTCTAAATTTTCCTACATCTTTCATACAATCATGTAATGCCTAGAAAAAAAAACGTTAAAATATATTTAATGAAATATTTAATTAATTGAAATCTACTTTAAAAATTTCTCGATCATCTGGTATATTAGTCGTTGTTGTTGTTGCACCTGCTGAAGGTTGTCTCGATGTTGGAATCACATCAATTGGTCTCATCGAAACAATTGTTGAATCGACAACACCGCCCGTTGAGGGCATTCTTTTCTTTTTCGAAATGTCAAATCTTTTGTTCTATTTTTTTTTCTTCTTTTTTTCTATCTATTCAGAAAACGAAGAAGACTTTTGATATATGGAGAAAAAAAAGAAGAGGAAATGGACGCAGAACGGATAAATATTCAATGTCGCTATATCCTATACTATATTTCATAATGAATGTGGCGCTTTCAATGAATTATTTTAATTTTATTGAATATTTGATTAATATTCTTTTCGAAAATAAATCCAAAATAAATTTAAAACTAAAAATAATTATATTTATTTACCTATAGATGACGTTATATAACACTATAAATGTAAAAGATTAATTAATTAAACAGCTTTCATTGCTTTGATCTTTTGTTCGATATATAACACACACACATTCATTCATATATTTAATTATATCGATTACTATATTACTTCATAGAAAAAACTTTAGATATTATCCAGAATGAGTTAATAAGAGAAAATATATTCGCATAAATTATGTTCATACAGAATATTTTGTTTGAATGACTTTATAATTTATTTGATATAGATTTCTTTTCTGTTTTTTTTACATTAATTAAGCAATTTAGTCTAAAATATGATTTAAAAAAAAGGATAGAAACAATCCGTAACTTTTTTTTCATTAAAACAATTATAACAAATAGATTTTATCAGTAGATATGTGCATACATAAATATATCTGAGGAGAAAAAAAAATCATTATGATTGCGTTTGAGTTATATTAGGGTCGTTATTATTATTATTATTATTATAATTTGAAGTACTTGCTGTTGAATTAAATCGGGAACGATTCCCAGTTATTGATGTTGTCATTTGCGATCGTTTCCGTTGAGTTGAAAGTGTTGATTCAATAGTACTAAAACGTCGAAATGCTTCATTGATTAATTTTAATGATTGTAAACGAGTCGTATTTGATATTGGTTGATAAAAATCAGTTCCTTTCGGTGATTGTACATCACTCGATATTGAATCACTACGAATGAAATCTGTTGATATTGAAGGTTTATGTGTTGAAAGACTATTCATATGTTCAAGTGAAGTAGACGGAAGATTTTGATCAACTTCAGCTAAATCTATACAAAAAATTAGAATTTATCATATCTGTTTAATATACAAAAATAAATAAATACACATTCATTATTTTGATTAAAGGTTTTTTTTAGCAAGATAATGTTTAAAAATTTATGATGCTAGTAACTAATGATAAAAGTGTGCACGATTAGGGATTTAATCCGACGTCTATTGACTAACAGAAAAAACATGCTCTCAATATTTGTTTTATGTATATTGTAGAAAAAAACCTGATCTTTTTTTTTATCAATCTTGTAGATGATTATTTATTAGTTAATTATTTACCTTGTCGTGTATTAGAATCACGTGTTGATGTTCCACTAGCAGCCGCTGCTTCAGATAAAATACTTTGCATTCGATTACTATTAATAATCGGTGTCTCTTTTGAATTAATAGCTTTTTCGATATTTGTTTTATGTAATACATCTAATTCTTGACGTAAATCTCGTGTTTCATCACGTAATCGTTGAACAGTTTCAGTTAACTATTAAATTTTAAAGAAATATATTCAAAAATAATTAATTTTTTCGAAAAAAACAAACCTGTTGTTTCTCATCAAGTTCATTTTCTAACAAAGCATTCTGTTCTAATGCACGATTAAGTCTTGTTTCAAATGTTGATAAACTATCTAATAATGTTCTTTTACCTAAGAAATAATTTATCATAAAAGAATTAAATAAATATTATTTATACTTCGTTCAAGATCATCATTTGTTTGTTCTAATTCTCTTATATAATGTGTTAATTTTTCATTTAAATTTTTACATGAATTTAATTCTTCTTGTATTTGATCAAAACGTTTATCGAATTGTTTAATAGTTTGTTCACTACGTTCACGATATTGTTCATTTTGTGCACGTTCACGAAATAAATCTTGTTGACAACGATGTGCTTCACTATCTAATTGTTTTATATTTAATTCTAATTCTTGTTCATAATTTAATGATGAATGTTGATATTCATCAAATTCATGTTCGATATGTTCAAAACGTGTCCGATATTCAATATAACGTTCCAATGCTTCTTCAAATGTTGTTGGATCATTATCATTTGACATTAAGAAATAAATCGAAAATCTTAAAAACAAAAAACTCTATATAGATAAATAAATATATTTTTGAAAAATAAAATACAACATGTATAATGTATTTATTTCTCTTTTTTCTAAATATTACTTTTTTAAAAGAAATAAATAGAATAATACATTGAACATTACGTTAATACCTCTAAGGATATAACAACAAGTCACATGACAAGAACAAAAAACACAGAAAAGACACGGGTTGAAAGTTGATTGAAATAACAAATGCGTAAATTAGAGATAAATGAAGATAATTTTTTGTTAAATGTATTGTTAATGTGTATGATCAGTATTGAGAGTCGTTGGTGGTTTAATGCGAAAGCAATGAATATTTAATGCATCACATAATTCTTGACATACTTTCGTATTATATCGAAGTAAATCATATAAATTAAATGCCTAAATAAAAACGATAGATTGTCTTTAAATACTATATGATAAATGTCTATGTTTTAATATCAATCAAGACAAAATTTTTATCGATATATCTTATTCATTAATGAAGAAAATTTAACTTACGAGAAAAAACCAAAGTAAAATATGTTCTCCAATAAAACAACTAAAATATTGATTTACACAAAAGGCTATGGGACCAATATATGCTGTATCCCATCTATTCAACGGACTTTTTGACATATGAGCTACCTACAAGATAAAAAAGGATTGCCCTTTCACGGATAATAAGAAAGAGAGATATTGACTAACAATCAATCGATTTGTAATTTTTGAAAATGCAATACCATAACATATTAAATGAAGTGCTGGATGTTGTACAAGTGCGGTTGATAATGAATGATTTGAGGCAATATAAGCAAGAAATGTAAGAAATAAAATATGCCATGCTGGAAAAATAATACTTGTACCCTTTATAGTAAAACAAAAGCAAATAGAATATTTAAATCAATATTGAATAGAAAAAGAAAGTGATGTGATTTACAGCAACTGATGAAGAATTTCTTCCACATCCACCTTGTGAAATAAGACGAACATTATTAACTGCACTACAGAATCCAGAACCGATCATTAATATTGCCGAAAATACACGATATTCAATATGAATTATAGGCATCTTATTAAATGAAACAAAAAAAGATTATTATTATATTATCTTTAATTTAGTTTTTTATACATACCGTTTTAGTCCAGAAACTGGGTGATATAATAGTTATCAAGCAAACAAATATGAAGAAAAACTGAGCTTCGGTACAATCAAATCTAAATAAGATAAGTAAAAATATTGAAAAAAAATTTATTTTGAGGACTTACGTTCCAAATTTAAGTTTTCCCGATACGTATGTTTGCCAATGTGCACAATAAAATGTCACACAAGACAACATACAACACCAAAACATAACCCATGGATGAACACCAAGTTGTAAAACACAACAAAATGCAACTGTGACAAATACTATAAAACAAAAATATGAAATAAGTATTGATAGAACATTGAAAATAACCTGTTGAAACTGAATCACAACCATGATCAAATAATTCACCCAACGGCGATGAAGAATCTGTTCGGCGAGCTTGTTTACCATCAATTGCGTCAAGTGATTGATATAAGAAAAGGCCAAGTCCTGTTAGAAAATACATCCATCGTGTACACTAAATCAAATTTTATTATTTTTGCAGATGAAATAATAATTTAACCTGTTCTTTAGCACCGTCTGTTAAAATGATGAGCAAAATACTAGCGCCAATATTTAATACTAAACCAACGATAGTAATAAGATTTGGTGCTACCCATAATGGACAAAATTCAACAAGACGTTTCCAAAATATTTGCATATATGGATCGAGTAAAGTTGTACCTTCAGATGCATATTTATGTTCTTTCAAACGTTTTATCTGTTGTTCAGTTAATATATTAGGTAGATTTCGAATGACTTCTTTTGCATTTGAGCCCAATTGATGGGTTTTTTGCGTAATTTGTCTAACATTACCATGAAATGAAGACTGTAGATTATTATCTAAGATTCGGTTACTAGACATATTCATGAAATATCTAAAATGATATAGAGAAAATAAGAAAGAAACAGTATTCGTTACGGTCCAATAACCGAAACTATCATTTATGTCCAATCAAAGAAAGAAAAATCCATATATAAAATCAAATATATTGGTTTGAGTCATTCATTTGAAAGGTATGTAGATCAATGCATGTAATGAGTCATTACAATTTTTTTTAAACTGACAACAACAAGTTAATAGAACTTGTAATAGGCAAAACAAAAGAATGTGTACTGACGAAAATAAAATATCTCTACCATTTGTAAGTAAACATGCATCGAGAGAGAGAAAGAAAAAAAAGTATCACACACTCATGCACATGCTTTTAAGTCTAATCATCACTCTTTTACGTTTTACGAGATAGATAACGAACGTCCGACTCTGTCTGTCTATCAATCAAAAAATAATAATATTTGACAATAATAAAAACTGGTATTTTCCTTCTCAATGCTTAAACACAAAACTCGTTTATTCGAAACAAGAGCCAAACATTTCAATCTCATCACATTCAATTAGTATTTTTTTTCTTAGTAAATATCATTCCATACAAAACATAAAATGCAAAAACAAATAAAACAAAAGCTGCAAAATAAATATCACACTTGATTTAAATATTCGATAATTCCATTGAAGATAAATTTAATTTTTGTCGTATACGTAATGGAATCGCTTGATAAAAATCTTCAACTGAATAAATTCTTGCCCAATCAATATTAACTGGTGTATAACAACATATACGTCGATTAATTAAATCTACTAAATTTTGTATATATCCTAATGAAAATGGACTGGAGGATTTGTTTCGAAGATATTTATATCGCCAAAAATTGAATTTTTCATTTGTTGTATAACCAGATGCAATCTTAATTAACACAATTTAAATAAATTTTCTATGACAAATTTTTTTTCTATGTTACCTGCGCAAGTATTGTTACACAAAGACCACTAATCCAAAGAATATGCACACATGCAATAAATGTAAACCAAAGAATAACTGGTGAACAATTTATTATGATTGTTAAAGCTTGAGGTATTGTTTCTGATGAAAATAAATGGCAATTACGATGATAATCTGAAATGAGTAATACATATATTATTTTGAAATGTGACATTATATAAGGAATATTACGTAAAAATGAAGCATGAAGAAAAAGACCAAGGCATATTGGCGTGAAAAATAGGAAACCAACAAAATATCGAAGATTTTTTTCACCAACACAATTATCAATCCACTAGAATAGACAAAAACATTATTTTTAATTATATGAAAAGAAAATAGCATGTACGTCCTATTATAATGTCATAGACAGACAAATGACATCTGTTAATGAGTTTTATTACGTTTTATTACGATTGTAAAAACCTGTTATTTTATAAGAAATACTATCGAATAAATTTATTGATTTTTACAAAAAGAAAATTTCCAAGGATTATATTCCGTTGAGTCGTAATATTACAGTCATACATATTACAAAATCAATATTTATTTAGGCCATCTGACACTTTAGTTTCCCTTTGCTTATAATAATTTTTTTGCAATAAAAAACATTAGTTTGTTTTTTTTAATAGATTTACAAGGTTAAAATATAATTACATAAAAAGATGTGCACACTTAAGGATATTTTCTAGTCGAATACATATCAAACTAAAACTGACATTTTATACCTATGAAATGCTGAGATTTTAATCTATCATCTTACCGGACAATGATGATCGAATTTTGAAATACATCTATGACAATCTTTACAATGTTTTGATCGAATTGGTCGTTTTATAAGACATGATGTACAAAAAGTTTCATAATCAAATAAATTTTGTTCAACTAATTGAATAATATTCTAAAAAAAAATCAACAACGGTAAAAGAAATTTTATTCTTACAAATATTCATTATACTCTATATAATTGTTCACGATTACCAACAATAAAACCTGGATCACGTTTTATAGCAAGATAATAATTACTCCAGGATAAATATGTTAATAGAATAATGAAAAAAAAATGAATTGATATTACATTTACAGCTTAAAAAAAAGAATAGAAAAGTTATTAAAAATTAATATTAAAATTTTTCGATTAGAATTTTACATGCCGAGAAATAATAGAAATAACAAACATACAACCAAAAGATCGATGCTTGAGCAATAGCTATTGGTAAATATCGATCCATTTGATTATCGAAGAATATTCTAATCGAAATATCAGATTAATAAAAAAGGTGTTGTTTTCTCTATCAAGATATCTTACCGGACATATCCAGATGTTAGACCAGCTAAACATACTAATAAAATACCTCTATAAATCAATGAGATTGGCAATTGAATTATAAATGCAACAACAATTATAAGTATATATGGTAAAAGTTTTGTTCCTAGACGTCGACTTGATTTATCAAATTGTAACCATTTTGGTAAACCAGGATTTGATCCATTATCTTTTGATAGAAGATACATTAACTGCATATTCCCTGACAATCTTCGTGCTACATCTAATGGAGTTTCATTCTAAAAACAATAAAAATACATATATTTAAATAAATCAAATTTAAACATACATCAGAATTACATATATCAGTACGAGCATTAGCATCAAGAAGAACTTGAACTGCTTCTTTATTCGATGCATTAATAGCATAATGAAGTGGTGTACATTTATTAACTGGATCTTGATAATTAATTTGAGAACCAAGTCTAAAATTTCATTATTCGATTTTATAATATTCATAGACCAATTTACCGAACAAGTAATTGAGTTGGATCACGATTTTTTATTTTACTAACAGCATGCATTAATGGTGTCATTCCACATTTGTCAAGTATATCAACATCTTCTCCTTTAGCAATTAAATATGCAACAATATCTGTATGTCCAAACATACTAGCAAGATGCAAAGCAGAAAAACCTTGAGAGAAAAAAAACAGTTGCTTTCAAAATAATATTCTTATTCTATTGTTTTGATAATCAATTTACCTTCGGCATCAAATAATGAAATTTGTGCTTGATGTGATAGAAGAAAAATAACCATTTCAGTATGACCATCACGTATAGCCCAATGCAATGGTGTAGAATTAAGTGCACCACCAATTGCATCTACTTGAGCACGTTTATTTATTAAATATTTTGCGATTTCAACTCGATTATTAAGCGCTGCCCAATGTAGTAAAGTTATATTACCAGCAACTGGTGTTGAAGCAAGGTATGGTGCAGGTTCAATTAATTCAACAACACGATCGTAATAACCAAATTGAACAGCACTAAATTAAATTAGAAAAAAGATTGCTAATTTAATTTCTCTAGTTTATGACATACGAAACTAAATCAGCTGTATGAGATTCAGGACCTGGTGTACTACTAATTATTGTTGGAGGTTCAACGGGATATGGTGGTGGTTTAGTTGTACCACCATTTAAAACATTTGGCTGAAAGTAAAATAAAATATTCATTAAGAATATATGAATTTGTTAAATTTCTTTTACTTCTATTGACTTCATATCAACACATAAGATCGTGTCACTTTAACATTATGTTTTGATTGTGGTTATGTTGTTTCGAAGGAAACGGGCAAAGAAAGTAACAGAGAAAAAAATTGCTCTGTATTGCGATTTCTTTTTTTCTGATAGTAATGAATCATTGGCACTGCCTGCGAACGAACAAATAGAAAATTTCTTTTACTATTTGTTTGTATAACAACATCTAATGCATTAATTTGGTTTTTACTTTTCGATTCCTCAGAACAGTTGAAAAAGCATATGGAAGGAAAAAGATGGAACAAACTAGATGAAAATGTTAAATCTTATTCGTACATATATCATTCTAAAGTAATGACAGAGGACGCTGGTGTATTGTTAGATAATATTTTTATGAAACATGTCTTATAGGGGACTCAGGAGTGCTGAATCTTCCTCATACGCTCCCGCGCGGGGAGGGAAATTTTTTTAAAACTGCATTTTTGGGAGACATTCTTTAAAATTCTGGGGAATTTTTGAAAAAATTTTCCTGGGGAGGGAAATTTTTGATTTTTGGGAAGATTCTGCACCTCTGAGGGGACTATTCATAAATGAAATCTTTCACTATATCATGCTATTTGAAACTGTATTATATTTATTCGCATTAGATTTATGTTAGAATAACTAGTACATACGAAGAATCAAATAAAACTTGATAGGGAGAAACTTTTTTGAAATTCGCCTAACTTCACAGGACTTTGCAAGACTATTTGAGATACCATCGAGTTATTTCTTAAACTAAAAGTTCTAAGAAAATTATTCGAGTTGAAAAAATTAGAGGCCGTTACAGAGCAAAGTAAATTGCTTTTCCTCCAGGTATTTCTTTTATATAAGTACTACCATGAAAACGAATTTTTGGTATATATGTTCCGTCCTATCAACATCGATTTGTAATGAACGTCAATTTTTAAGTGTAGTGTATCAATAGATGAGAGCATTGAAACACAACGATAACCTTCTATCTTAAATTCAATAGGATATGTATTTCAGATATAGTTTGTTCAAAATTCAGATTTTATGTATTACCAACTAAGTCTTTTTTTTTCATTTTGAAGAAAGTGCATGAGTTTCTTTATTTCGAATTTTAAATGAATAAAACAATAAGAATTCCTTTTTATAAACAATTACCATACTGTTTCTCTTATTCTGAAATCAATTAACGAAACAATATTATAATTCTTACTGCCATAAAAACTATTCGATAATGAAATATTTCTCCTCACATCACAGTAGGTGAATCTTTTGATATATATAACTTTACAGACCACTTTCAATGCTCTCTCAAATTGATTCTTAATTAAAAGTGGCCTTGACTCCACAGTCGTCTACACTTGAGAATCGGGTGATAGATTATGAAAAGGTTATGATGAAAAAAAAGATGCGATATAGTAACTCATTTTGTCTGATTGGATAAATTACTGGAAGTTGCTTCATAAAGTCAAGCATTATATTTCGAAGTAAACTATCAAGCAATAAAAATATTTATCAAAAATTCTACTGGTGTTCAAGATGTTATAATTATTATGAAATTTCATTTTAAGTAAGTTATTTAAAATCTATTCATTTTTATATACGTCATAATTAGTTCTAAATGAATAGCTGTCATTTATGCTCGATTGATAGTAAGAATATTTAAATAATATCTATATAATTGAAACAACATGTATGGCATTTCTAAAAAGGAATTCAAATTAAGAAGCAATATTTTTATTTAGTCATAGACTAATTACTTAATATTAATAAGAATGAATGATGACAAAAAAATTTGCAGTATTTGTTAAATCGATTTTTTATGAGTCAATTTTTGTAAAGTAAATCAATAACGATAATTTAATATTCATCAAATATTCATTATATCAGACAATAGTAGTGTTCAGTTTCATATGTTATTCTTCCCACTTTATGAATACAATCAAATGTAATAAATTCAATGTGAAGTTTTTTTGTGTACGAAGTCTATTCTATATCATCTTATGTAAATATCATATTCAACTTAATATTCAATACATTAAGTATATGTTATAATTCATTGATTTCAATTGATTAATTAGCATTTAAATAATAGAAAAAAAATGTAAATGTATCATAAATATTATGAACTATATTCAATCGACAATGATTTTAAATTATAAATTCATTGAATAGAATAGAATAGAGCAGTAGTAATAATAAATACATTTGTAAATTGATATCAGACACTACTATATAAAAACATTATTTTTTCTCTATAAGTAATAAATGTAAATTGAACAGAAAATAATAAAATGAAGAAAACAATAATTCATTATATGTATATTTAAAAACTACTATTCATTTTTATTATTGTTGTATACGAAAAAGAAACCTCATGTTGGACACTTTTCATTAGTATGAATAAACTATACATATTCATTTTAACTATATAAACAAATTTAAGTGAAATATATATGCTCATAAATTCATTTTCAATAAACAAATACTGAGAATGTCAATATATACTTTAAAAAAAATTTATACATATATATGCGATAGAAAATATTTATATTGAATACGTAATTTATGTTTTGATCGATAAGGCTTTAGTAATTAATTAAAAAAACAATTTTCTATATATATTTAATTTTGAAGAAAAAAAACATGACAAATTAGAATAAAAAATAATTTATGACACGGTATTGATTATTTTCTTATAAATATTTATCATTAGAGAGAGAAAAAAACATGAACAATTCAAATGTAATTAACATTCTTACAACATAATTATGTCAAATCCTTAGAGATGATTCTGTATTTTATCAACGAACAAACTAATTAATTAATTTCCTCACCTGATCAACATAAAATAAATTTTTGTTGCTTCCTATATGAAATTCTATTTGCTAGATTATGTTCCTGAATAATAAAACACGCAGAACAAATTTACGCAACATATGTATTACGGAAGAAAGACCAGATGGATTTCAATTTCCTTTTGTTACCTTGACCTGCCTTCGGCTAAGAAGAGAGAAAAAAAACTCAACAAGATCATTATGTATTAATTAACATTCTTTACGAATATTAATTTTTATTTCTATTAACTTTTTTTTTAACCTTCATAAATATCGATAAAAAAAAGATTTCATAGAAACAAAACATATTATTTTACTTTTCTTCTTTTCTTAGCTAATAGACCATGAACATCTTATCTTATTGATACCAATTGTCCAAACGATCATATTACATATTTTATATTATTATTGTTGAATAACCTTTACATAGAATTCAAAACATTTATATAAGGTAAACTATTTCATAACTTATTTAAAATGAACATGAATCATAAAAAGAAAAAATTATTTTTTTTTTATATGTAGTTTGTTATCACATTTATAGTACTTCATAATGTTAAATATATGACATAAAGTGCTATTAAAATAATAGTATATCTCTTCAAATATATTTATTCATATGAGAGCTTTTTTCTTTCTAATTGAAATTTTCTATTTTAATTTACATGCAATTTATAGCTTAAATATTGAACTTATTATTATCTTTTAATCCATTCAATTAGCTAAATTTCATTCAAAATATATGTTTTTGTTTGTCTTAAAATTTTGTTTTAAAACGATTTGAATTGTGTAACTCACTTATATGAATATGTATATATATATATGTATGTACACGATAAGAACATCAACAATACATCAAACCATTAAAGTATAGTTCGTTGATCAAAGTAGATTCTCCTTTTGAACAAAAAAATCACCAACAACAATAACAGCATTTCTTTTTCTTCTTCTTTGTCTCATATCTTTAAGTGCTAGAAACTACAATACTTGTTTTTTTCAATCATTTCTATACTAGAGAAGTTTACTTATCTTAATCGCTCATCTTTCAAATTTCATTGTTCTACTCACGTACACATTTTTTTTAATCTTAGTTCTCTCTCTCTCGTTTTAAATTAGATATTTTGCATACCTCTTCTACTTAGAAATAGTAATAAAGAAGAAACCACTATAGTGATACAAGATATGTGAAGACTAATCAGCATGCCACATTCTTCATTGCTTATTGACGATGTCAGCAAGTAAATTGTGCACTATCAAATTTAGTTCTACTAGAAGAGTTTTGTTACATATCATCAGCACTTGTGTTCGCCTGTCAGCTTTGATGACTTGCTATTGTACATACACATATGTATATATATATATAGAAGAGAAAAAAGAGAAATGCAAACGAAAAGCATAGAGATGATGCAATAGCTGAGCTACGACTATAATAACCCACTATAAAAATTAATCAATTGGGGATTTCTCTTTCTTATATATGTATATATGGATGCCGATCGACGATTGTTGACAAGAGAACAACGGAAGTAGCCTTGCCATTAAAAAATAATAGAAAAACGACATATCATTTTTTAGAAAAAAAAGAAAAATTGTTCAACTTTTGTTATCAATACAATGATCGTCACTATTGTCATCATATACATAATGATTGCAAACGTGTGTATCTCTCCTTGATAACTTGTGTTTTGCTTGATTTTTACAGATGTGCGTGATTGAACACATACATCATGTACGATTTAACATACCATATATATATATATATATATATATATACTTGTCAAAGAGACCAACTAAAATTAGACAACTGACATATTTCAACATCGTTCTCTCTTCTCATTTCCTTCTTCTTCTTCTATTGCTCACATCAATAATGACAACCAAACGAGAAGCGGTGGAAAGAGAAAATATTTTAATGAATCAAATGTAGTGGACGTATAAAAAAAAGGAGAGACGATGACAGAAATAGAGAATAAGTGAAAGGCAACCACTCGACGTTAAATGTGGGCAGTGGAGCAATGTCGGCGCCAAATTGATTGATCATAGAGCTCACTTGGTATATTCTTTACTCACCTGTTAATTGTTCTATAATCATCTATTCCATATTCGCACCTACTGTAAATATCGAAATATCCAGTTATTAATACTTATTAATATTGTTACTTTTTTGTTTCGTTTTTTTTCTTCTTCTCTGAAGAAGAAAATGGTAACGAAGCGTATTAGTACTTTTATATATGTACATAATCAGGTATGATGAATATAGAATCAATTGAAAAAATGATTTTTCAAGCTTGTCTTCAATTCGATTGAAGACAACAAAAAGAAGGTCATATCATAATGCATACAATACGTAACTACGTAATTTCTATTAAAGAAAAAAGAAATGTGTAATTGTTAAGTTTTCTTTTTTTGATTCCATTCGAATTTTGAAGAATTAAAGTGTAGTATAAAACAGAAAAGTCATTCTCTTTCAAGGATTATTTATTCATTCTTTATCGTAAAAAGAAACTGTATGTATCTCATAAGTCGTTTAGTAATATTTTTTTTGGCTGCCTGTGTCTTTCTCTTTCCTTTCCTTGTTTCTTCTTCGTTTAATTCCATAGAACATAAACCTTGAATGTGTATGAGTAAAAGACGTTAAGTATTTGGTTATGTGTGTTCTGTTTTTTCTTCTCGTTTGCATTCTGTTTTGTTGACGTACGACACGCGCATGTATCTTGGCGTACCCGTAGTTGATTTTTTTTCTTTTATATATATATATATATATTTTATTTATTTCGAAACGTTGACTAGAGAAAGAAAAAAGTGAGTAAGAACAAAATTTCTATTTTTTATTCTGAGAGACGGACGTATTTAAACTTTCACATTAGACTGAATGTCAAACACGTATATTCACTTACACGTGACAAAACTATGTACAGGTTTTTCGCCATTTTTTTATTATCATTTCTCTTCTTTTATTTCAATTTCATATACATATATAGCGGTTGATGTTTCTGTTAGAACGTGAGTCTAAATATACAGTTGATTTTGACTTTTTGATCATAGCTGGCATATGTATGCCATCCGAATCTTTCGTTTACTTAACACACAATATAACTGTATTCTAACCAGTAGGGGAGATAAACATACTCACTCACATACATATATACACATTCTCGATTGACAAATAAAGGACCTGAATTTACGTAACACTTTCTATGTATATATGCTATAAATATATTATTCATGCAAGTAATAACCTTGCTATTATTCGTACCGTTATAGTTCCTTTTCTATTCTCACCAGTGAGAGATATTACCATTTCTATGATTGTAATCATGATGAATGTACTATATATATATATATATATACATTCTATTATTAGCCTATTTTATGATCTTAAAATATTAATCTTGTTCTAAATACCTTTTCTACTCAAAGTTTTTCTTTCGAAAGAGTTAAAAGAAACCAATCGGATCTATATCGAACAATATTAATAATATGTTCTTGAGCCGTCTTATCGGATATTTGCTATTATAAGACTAATAAAAAAAATAGTTATTCGACCGAAAGATTAAATCGTCACATTTCATCTGCAAAAAACAGAGTCTTCGTGCCATAATCGTCATCATCATCATCATCATTGCATCGTTGTCGACTAGTTAAAATCACACATCGTTTATTGTGTCCCGTTGTACAGATTTCTCTCTTGTTTGCCGGCTGCTATACTCATTATTTTTCTATAAAGTGGAACCGAGAGAACAATACACATACATATAAATACACAATTGTCTACTCCCTTATGTTTGATATATGTATCGGAGAGAGAAGGGGGAGAGAGAGAGATGCAATGCCATGAAATTTTCTCTCTGCTCCCTTTTTTCTTTTTTTCTGGCTTATGGCTGGACAGCTCAGGCACTTCGCATTTAGCTAAGTCAATAAACTCACGGCGGATACATCGGATATTTTCATTCTGTCTCTTTCTCTCCCACCCACTTGCTCAGTTCATAAATTAGGGTTCTCTTTTTTGAAATCGTTGTTCATTGATGTGAATTTCGCTCGATTAATTATTCCGAAAGCCTACTAACGCTCTTTCACTTACAAATATATATATATATGTATATGTATTAAGGTGAGTGACATAGCGGCGAGACAATTTTTCGCTTCATTAGTCCTTGTTCTCCATGAAATCTGAATCAAACGTATCCATCCATCGACATACGAACACATACATATACATTCGGTTACGCACAAATTATTTGTTCATTACACTGTTACTTCTCTATTCTCCTTACGCAATCAAAAGAGGAGAGACTATCATCATCTAGATACGTTCTTTTCTTTCAGACATTCATATCTTTCTTTTCTTTCATCCAGAATACATCTATTATTCTGCATCTTCCAGCAAAAACGAAAAAAGAAAGGCTTTATATGTATTGATGATAACGATGATGATCTATATGTTTTACACCTTACTGCCACTGGCGAAGTTCAACAATGAAATATACTCGTCGATGCCGACCATAGGTGAGATAGAAGTAAGAGAAGAAAATGAACCAAGAGGGAGCGAGAGAGAGAAAGAGAAATGAGAATGAGAAGAACTTGACATTTGTTTAATCAAATAACAACTGCATTTTGACACCATACGATTAGAATATGAAAAAATAAATAGATGCAAAAGGCAAAAGAAATAGTAAGATATGATATATAGTGTACGAGACAATTGTAAGTGTGGTATATTCAATGGGCGGAAACGGATTAAATACTTTCATTTCATTTGCTTAGATATACTTTGACACGCGTATATCGTTAATCTTAAAGTATAGGTTAGCAAAAAAAAGAAAAAAGAAATAAAATATCATTATTAAACACATTTAGTAAATCTATTGATTTTAATGAAAGAATCAAGATTAAAATAACTTTTTTATTCTTGATTCTTTTTTTTTTAGAATGAACGATGACTATTTCTACATTAATTTTCGGCTTTTTACCACCTTAATTACAATTCTATTAATATCAACTATCGTACCAACAATGTCAACACTTCGTCCTTTATATCCATGTCATTATAAAGATCTTAATCAACGTATATATAAATGTGACATGTGTACTTGTTTATTATCACCTCCAATGTTCTCAACATCAAATCTTTGTTCTTCATTATTATCAACATCGTCATTAGTTTGTTCAGATAATTCAACTAAAATTCCTAATGAAGAATTACTTCGTTTAAGACTTAATGAAATTGAATTCGAAAGTAATCATCAATTTCTAACATCCTATTCTATTATACCAAAAAAATCTTTTAATGATATTCAATTTGAATTTGATAATTTTAATAATGATATTATAGAAAATCTATTAAATTTTGAACAATTTTGTTCTTCATTAAATAATTCTCGTTTAACATTCTATCGTTTACAAACAAATCTATCATTTAATCAAATAAATCAATGTCGTTTAACAATATTTTCATTACGTTTTCTTGATACAACTATTGAAAATAATCTTTTAATATTACATACAAAACCTGATACATTAATTTTTTATAATTGTACATTTAATATTAATTCTTTTAATTTAACAAGTACAACAACAACAACATTAGCATTTTATTATGTTAAATTTCATTCGAAATTATTTCTATTAAATTCTTTATCATCATTAATACATTTAACAATAACACATACAACAAATTTTGATATTATTGGTTCATATCCAAATTTAATTTATCTTGATTTATGTCATACACAATTAGATGATATACAATTAAATAGATTATTTTCACAAATTGAAATACCTGATTTAGTAACATTAATATTATCAAATAATCATATAACAACATTAAAAACAAAATTTCCATTGAGAGTACGTTATTTAGATTTATCAAATAATCAAATTAAATCATTAGATTATACATCTTTTAAATCTTTATATTCATTAAATACATTAAATTTAAGTTATAATTCACTATTAGATATTCAACAAGATACATTTACACGTATACCATATTTAGAGATACTTGATTTAACGTCATCTCTACCATCATTACCTGTTGATGATTTATTTTTACCGTTACAAAAACTTCGTTATCTAAATATATCATCAAATAATTTAAATTCATTACCACGTTTTCCAGTTCCATATGATGCACATACTATAGCTAGTTATGATCATCATTTACCTGTTTTATATGTTGATATGTCAAATAATAATTTAAATCAAATTGATTTTGATATGTTTTCTTCAGCATCAACACAAGATAAATATATTATATCAATTGATTTAACATTTAATCAATTAAAAACCTTACAATTACCATCTATGATATCTACGGGTATTAAAAGACGTGGACCATTAATTGAATTAAATATTAATAATAATCCATTAGAATGTGATTGTATTTTATATGAAAATATTTTTCCATTATTACAAACTGATGTTCTATCTCAACAGCAAAATACTTATAATTGTAAGTCTCTTTCTTTTTTTTTGCATGATAAATTTTTCTTAATTAATTGAATTCCTATGTGTTAAATGAGTTTTATTGTAGATTGACTTAAGTCGCTTTTTTTTCCTCTTAATTAATCATTTATAAATTTATTCTGTTGAAATGATTATGTTTGCCTATGGGGAATATAATGAAAAACAAATGCTTTCTCTGAGAAGTGTAAGACTTTCCTTTTTTTTATTAATAAGTTCAGCTGTTCCAATTTTTCTTACTGTTATATCAAAAGCAACATGCTTTGCATATATATTGCATGATTAGCACTGTTGGAGTAACTAAGTTTGTTCTTCTGTCCTCTTATTTTTAATGATCTCATCTGTTACAAAACACATGAAACTAATTAATTAACTTATAATTAATATATTTTATTTCGTATTCATGTTGTATAACTTCTCTGTTCATATATAATCACAACTTAAAATTAATGCCGAAATAAAGAAAATGTAATTGCAAAGGTTAACATATTATGTGATATTAAAGTGACTAAAAATAAACGTTTTACGTTAGTATATCTTCATAAATAGTGTAAAGAATGATTTGAGATACTCTTTCTTGTAATAGTCATATCTAAAAATATGATTTTCTTATTATAGTACCACTTCCATTTCAACCACCACCGCAACAAGTTCCATCTGGCTATTATCCTAATCAGCATTTACCCTCAGGTATTGTCACTCCACCACCCTTACCGACTCCTTTACTTCCTTATGCTCAATCTGGAAACTCATTAAACTATATCCGATCTCGTCGTCAATTGAATCCTTCAAAACTACCAACATCAGCATCATTACTTGCACAAAATCTCGTTAAACAAGCTCGTATCAAATTATTAAATCTATCAAATTTAACATGTAAAGACATGACTGAACCCAATCAAAATCGATCTTTATTTGATCTTAATTCCACGAATAGTTTTTGTCTCTATACAAAATCGTGTCCATCAACATGTTCATGTTGTTCATCATCAACATCATCATTATTATTTAATATAAATAATTGTGAATGTTATTATCAATGTCCAATAGAATGTACATGTAAACATTCATTTGATTTATTAAAAAATTATGTTAATTGTTCAAATCGTTATTTAAATAAACTACCATTAAATATTCCTCATACAACAACACATTTAAATTTAAATCATAATCAACTAAAATCTCTTGGAAAAAATTTAACTGATCTAACAAAATTACAATATCTTTCAATATCAAATAATCGTTTAGAATATTTATCAAATGATGATTTTTCAACATTAAATAAAATTGAAAATTTAGATTTATCATCAAATCAGATACAAACAATTGAACCGCGAACATTTTCAACAATGTTTCATCTTAAACATCTTTATCTACATGATAATATATGGATACCAAAATTTTATACTGGAAATGGAGAATTTCAATCCAATACACGTTTAAATGTATTAACATATGGTAAAAATTTCGTATGCAATCGATCAGCAATATCTTCTAGTTTTACTATTGAAACTCCTCTTACAGCAGATGATTGTTGTAAACATACGTCAAATATTGAATCATGTCGACAATCTATTAGTACAAATGAATTTAATTTTCAACCTGACAATGAACATTCATCATCTCATTCGAATAAAAATTCGAAAAAATTTTTTCAAATGTTATTTCATGAAAAATATCGTCTCTATGTTTTTATTGGATTAAGTATACTTATACTTATAATATTATGTGTTATTATATTATGTAGTATATTTTGTCTTTGTCGAAAAAAGAAACAATTAAAACATCCATCACCAGCTGAAAGAAAACTTTTATCAAATGGTGATTCGAAAAAAACAACAAATCATTATCATAAAACTTTACAAGCAACAGCATCATCAACAACACCACAAATGACATTATCATCATCAACAACTGCTATACAAAAATTAATTAATTCAACAAGACAAAAAAGTAATCGTCTTTTAAATTCTTCTAAAATACAATTTTGATTTAATTTAGGTATAACTTCTAATACAGCTTATAAACAACAAGAAAATGATGCTTCAGTTTCATATTCTGATAATGATGATGAAGATGATTATGCTTCTATACCATTAACAGTATCTCAAAATGATCTAGCAACTGTAATTCGTCCACAACCAGTAGTTCCACCACTTCCACCACCTCGTCAAACACAACAACAACAACAGCAACAACGTTTATTATCTAATCGACCTTTATCTCATTCATCAACAGTTTCAACATCAACAACGATTCGATCAATTGTTCCAATGTTAAAACGTACAAATTCTTCTGGCTCAAAACATGCTCAATCATCATTAACACCAGCACGTTCATGTTTACAAATTAAACTTGATGCACTTGTATTATATTCAATAAATGATAGTGAATTAGTACATGGAAATATTGGTGAATACCTTGAAGATATGTATGGTAAACGTTTTAGTTTTTATTTCCTACATCGTGATCGTATGTTGGGTGAACTTGATTGGTTAATTGAAAATTCATGTGTAACAATAATTATTTTACGTAAACCATATCATATTGTACATGATTATATGAAAATTTTATCATCATGTTCATCAATAAAAATATTTCTTATACTTGTTAATGATGAACAAAATCATCATAGTTCATCATCATCAATAAAAGCACGAGAAAAAATAGCAAAATTATATCGAACAACAAATATTTATGAATGGAATTCTAATCCATCATCACTTATACATGAACAACTTGAATTATTTCTTGAGCAAAATTGTGGTTCAGCTACTTATGTACCCTATTAACTGTATTGTGTGTGTGTGAGATCTCAGGTTAATATAAATCTATTTAAGAAGATATTATTTTCACTTCGCACAAAGCTGTTTTCTTTTTCTCTGTTATATTGTAAACCCGGTGGCGCTATTATTATTATTATTATTATTATTGTTGTTGTTGCTGTTGTTTCTGTTGTCTTACACCTATTCCGATTTGTGTGTATATATTTATATGTGTGTGTGCGTGTGATTTTTTTTT